ATAGCATCTCAAACATCGGCTACTACATCGTCTTCACAAAATCCGACACATTCAAACGGACATAACAGTTCAAACAATAGTAGTAAACGATGTTTGAGATGCTATGTTTGCATTACGGTGTAGGGAATGCAATTCAGAGTGAACTTTTATTCCATCAAATTGTCTTGTGCTATTAAAAAAAAAATAAAATAAAATCAAAAATAAATAAATTTCAAAAATAATTGTGATACATAGATAAATGAAAAAGGCTTACCTATATGTAGGCTTGTTTTCATCAGCATCTGACCCAACAATCACAAATGAATTTTCTATCTCATTATTGTCCCAAAATCTGATTTTACGATCAGATCCAGTTGTTATCATATAACTACATTCACGCGGATAAAGAACTGCTCGAATAGAATTATCTGCTGAAAAACTGCTTTCATGAGCCGTAAAAGCACTTCGTAATATATCATTTGGACCTGGAGGATCAACAGCCTACGAACAAAGAATACATGCTTTGAATATTGTATAATATTATAAATTTATAAGCAATAAGAAATTTACCTTAAACATATCTAAAGATATACCACCAATCTTCTCATCACCAGTTCTCACGCCAAAAACTTCTTTACATTCAACCTTCTCTACATCCCAAACCGAAATTTCATTTTTTCCAGCAGCAACAATTACCCACCACTTTTGACTTCCAATTTGGGGATGCAAAATAAGTCTACTAATTCGACTTTTCGTAGGATGAACCCATGATCGAATTTGAATTCGAAACCGTAAATCCCATAGAGTAAATATTCCTCTAGATGTACCAACAAGAAGCCATCTATGTAATCTATCAGACACCATAGCAGTGATTACACCATGGCTTTTTGGATTTCTAAATTCCCACGCTATTTGCATTGTCCTTAAATCTAATCCACATATGTTTCCCTTTGATGTCGCATAAAGTAAAATGGACTCTATGCCTATCAATTATCAAGAAGATTAATATATTTTGAATTAAATTTATATTAATATATGATAGTATAAAACCAACCAGTATCGTAATGTTCCATTGCAACTGCATATTCTCCATTCAAGTATGTATCTCTCACATTTTGTGGTTTTCCATACTTTGGCGCGTTGATGCCAAGAGAATAATCAACCCGAAATATATGAATACTTCCATTATCTGATGCCGCTGCGATACAATGCGTGCTATCAATAAACGTCATGCACTTGATCTTGCCACCTATAATAGAATAAAAGTTTAAGCTTATTTATTATGCTAAAAACTCGAGTGATAAACGCACAACAAACCCAGTTGATCATATGTGACTCTTGAGCGGTTATTAAAGTTCTTAACGAATCGAGAACAATCCCATATCTTGACCGTTCCATCATCAGAGCATGACGCAAAAAAGTTATGATCAGGAGAGACACATATTTGATTAATGGCTAATTTATGTTCTGTCATGTGAGCTATCAATGTACCTAAGTATAGGTTACACCATATTTAATTACAACTAATCAGTAATTTGTGAAAATTCAAATTGTAGATAAACTGTTTATTTAAGCAAACCTTCTGGTCTCCAATTAGAAATATTTTTCGCAAGGGGTGGTCTCCTTGCAGGACGTGGAACCAATGTTTTGGTTACTTTAGGTCCAAATTCTATTATAATCCAGTATGTATATAAATTTAAAGTTTTTTAAAAAAAAATATTTAACGAACAATATACATATTTCAATAATTTCATACCTGGCATAGGTTCGGGAAATGCTTCAAGATATAAACTATCCAACAAATTTTTGACATTTCGATCATTACCCTCTATTAATAAAATTATAATATTTTAAAGGTTTATCAAAAATATGTCATGTAAGTATATTAAAAAAGACAATATTTACCATATGTGCTGGAAACAAATGCACCCAGATTTTTTCTCGCCGGAATTTCTTCTACCTGTGGTCCGTTAATATTAGTTATGCTAATATCTGGCTTGGAAACAGCAGGAATGGGCATTTCCATTGTCCCAATAACGGTTGTTATATTTGTACTGGTTGCAGGTGCCGCCTTCGGGCTTTCAACAGGTTTTTTGACCAACGAAATGTGCCTTTCACGTAATGGTGTCGAAAAACTTGCAGTTGAGGAATCTTGAGTATTCTTGTGATTATTGATTATTGTAATAGGGCTTGGCACATTCTTACGATTCATTGTGGAAGATGAAATACCAGAAACAAGTTCAGGTTGAAGCGAAGTTGACATAGTTTTAACTGGAAACTTTCCTCCTGCATTAATTCTCGCTTCCCGAAGGCTGGTGGAAATCAAGCGAGCTTGCTCTTCAGCTTTGAGAAGCTGAAGATTACTCTCACTGGGAACTCGTGAAACTGATGGTTCTGCCAATGACGCTTTGCTACTCTTTGCACTTGATATCCGGTAAGGGCTATAACATAATATGTTAAGTAAGTTCAATAATAATAGCTTAAATCTACATTATTTAATTATTTAGATTTAGATTACCTTGGTGTACCAACAACGTTCTAAATAGGAAATAAATATTAAAGACAATATAGCATAATATATAAACTTTAATTAATATTAAAAACAAAACATACTGCTTGTTTTAAGATATGTCCATCAGAATTAGTTGGCATGACAAAAACATTATGAGGGGTTATTCCCAAGTTTTTCAATATAATGGATCCATCCTAATTTAAAATATCGGAATTAAATTGGGAGTACAATTAAATTTAGAGATATTTTATACTACTTTACCTCCATCTTAAGACTTTCATCCAACCTTGGACGAGTACTTGGATTTAATTAATTATATAAATTAGCGATGCTGAAAAAAAATTTTTAATCCCATTAACAAGTATGGCTTACTTGATTTTAGAAATAGATAATTTATAAATATAATCTCTCATAGCAACTATTTTTTCTTCGTCTTCATATGCCATACCAATGTTTCTCATTTTTTCCAAATACTGTTCATCCCTATATTGTGAAAAAATTATTTTTTAAAAAAATATATATACACATACATAATAGCTTAGTATTAAGAATCCTACTGAAAAATATTAACAAAAAAAGAAAAGACATACTCTTCTGACTTGACAATTTTCCCAGCGTTAACTGCAAGTGTCGAGGTTCGTCGTGACAATAAATTAATAACGCTAGAACTACCCGATAATGTTGTTGATTTATTTGTTTTTCGTTCTTTAGCTTGTTTCCAAAATAAAGATTTATTGGATTTGCCAGCCCAAGTAACAGCAGCATCGAATACAGGCCGTGAGATCTAGTAAATTTCATATTAATAATGAATATCGTAAATATACGAATTAAAATATACATACTGGTTCTTTAACATTCTCTAATAGATGAAGTTCCGTGACTTCGGCAATGTCAGCCCGCAAAAATGGCCGAATTATAGGATATACAATACACCATACATCTGTCGTTGGTAAAAGTCTAGAGGCTGATGCGACAAAAGCAATAGTTCCTGTAATGGAAAAATAATTACAACAATCCAATATTGCTATTTGGGATCTTTTCCTTGAAAATGACATTATAGGACATAGTCAATCATATGATCAAAACTTGATTTTCAAGGCAAAGACCCATTTATTCATTCACCACAAACTACGTCTAAATATAATAATAGTTACCATAACGAATGTATATACCAGGATGGCACATTAATGGCGATACAATTGCAATTAATTCCCATAGCTTCATTTTTTGGAATAATCCTAATTCAGCTAAGCTTGTGAGAGAATTAAGAACTTTTTCTACAACAAATTCTTCCGCATCTGATTTCGATAATTTTGACAAAAAATTTTAGCTAATAATATATAAAATAGTCAATACACTCTAATAGTTAAGCGAAAAATTTTACCAGAAAGAGATTGAATCATCAAAGGTAGAATATATTCTTCTAAACTTCGACCTCCAACAAAAGTACCAACTCCAATTATGCTTTCAAAAAATGCACTATATGCAAAGGTATATTCAGTAAAAAATATATATATATTGACTATATTTGCATATATAAGCAAACCTTCTCAACATCCAATCACGATCGTTCAAGTATGTTATCATGTGACTTAATAATACATCGTTAGCTTTTTGTCGACCAAAAAAAATACAAAGGCTAGTGATACTTGACAGTAAAGCACGTTTAACCGCACTTTCAGTGTCAATTAAAAGAGTGGTCACTTGTTCTTGTATGATTGATTGAAGATCATGCAAAGTAGCATCATAGGTCGCCTTAAATAAAAGCTGGTTCAACAAATATCGAATAATTAAAAGCAGAAAATTTATTGGTAGAGCTGTACCTCATATGATCCTTCAATCTCAGTATCATTATCAGTTACATTTAGATAATCTTCTGCTTTAAATTGCTAATCATGACAAAAATGGAATTATTCCAATGCTTTTGCTATACAAAATAATGAATAAAGAACAAATACTTGCTTGTGTCAATTCAAGAAATCGTAGGGCTGTCTCAGCAAAAGTTGCAATGCATTGAGCATATGTCATCCTTACTAGGATCTCAGGATCAGTAGCAAATTTACGAAGATTAGGCATTATATATTCAGGGAATATAGTAGCGTTTGAAGGAGTAATAGTCTCAACCATGGAGAGCTATAAAAGTTTAAAAATAATAAAAATTTGCAGTTTGCAAAGTTGATGAATTTGAAGGTTAACTAACCAAATGCGCCAACGTCTTAACCGTATTAGCTCTAACAAGACCGACTTCATCTCCCAAAAGTGCAATTAAATAAGGGACTAAACGATCCAATTTAAATTCATCTTCCAGATGCTGACCAATTGCAAGCAACATGTCCAATGCATGAAGTTTTGATGAAGGATATGCAGTATTTCGGATAGTTGCGCATATCAATGAGAGAAATATTAGTGCCCCATCATCTTTATATAAGATGATTATTAGTTGATAGTCTTAATTTAGTTAAGAAATTATTTACTGATAAAAATATATACCGGCATTTTTATTTGGTCTTTTATTTTTAAAGGAAAAATAGTCATAATTTGGTATATGAAGATTAACCGCTAACGCGGGCTAACATTTTAATGTAAACAAATATATATATATGTTTTTTTTTTGTTAGTGAAAGAAACGATAATAACACGAATTGCACCAAATGACAACAATTGATACATACTGTCGCATTTGGAGATAATACTTTAGCAATAAACAAAAAAAGTAATAAGTAGAAGTCAAAATACGCTTTATGTTAAACGGATAATACGATAAAGTTTAACGAAAAATAAACAAACCTTCTACAGGGCGAGAACTTTCACCAACTTTATTAGCATGGCTATTATTAACAACCATTTCAGTTTCTTGAATATTCTCGCCGTAAAATCCAAGGAAAAATGCTATTTTATCAAACTCATAATAAATTCTTTCTATTTTATCATCCGCATCTGTGTTTATAATTGGTCTCGTTGTAGCATTATAGTCTTGAGGTTCTGCTGCTTTGTTAGTGTCATTAGTAGACAGCGTTCTTGGATAAGCTTGATTATGGGGGTCGGTCACCGAACCAATATATTGGTGGAGGAAGGTGTAAAAGTATTGGGGAAATGCTGTGCCACGCCTTAACATGAATAAATATCTACATTAAGGAAAATAAATTCAATCATAGTCACAGTCAGACAAAATAAATTAATAAATTAAATACCATTCTTGTAAGTATTGTTCTGCAGTATATCGTTGAGAAGGGTCTACATGAATCATATGTTTCACCAAAACCTAAAAACAATAACAGTTTTGTAATTCTTAACATGCATAAAAAAAATTTTTTTTTCACAGAATTTACTATAAATTTCCATACTCTTATCTCAGCATCTTCAATTTTTTCCAGATAAACCCCTGGATCATATTCTCCAGCTCTATACTTAAATAACTGAGCTAGTGAAAAGATTGGCGTGCCCTCTAAAAAAAGTTCAGCGATCACACACCTGAATGTTAATTATGTATTCGGAATTAATTATAAGAAATTAATTTACAAAAGTTATAACAAAAAATATAATGTAAAACAAGATAATGAAATAACGTGGCGCACCCTAAGGAAAATATATCCATAGCAGGAGTAATAGCACCGTCTTTTTCACCAAACTCAAGTTCGCTCTATGTATAATAATGTATTAAAATTAAAATTATATTGACAAATTGGTTAAAATTTGAAAATTATACA